CTGACTATGCCCCTCATCCCAGAGCCTCCTCTCCTGGAGACTCCAAACTATTCCCCAAATGAAAAAACCTGCTTTGTCTGGGAATCTGGAAATTATATCAAAGAAAGATGGTGAGATTCTGTGATGGGAGACTGGCCGTCCCTGGAATGATGGCGCCCAGGCTTGTAAGACAATTCCACTAAGGGTCTCATCTGGGAAAAGCGCTACTGGAGACATTACCTGGTTATCATTTCTATGTAGAGCTTACTGCCATCACTCAAGCTGTTTGTGAGCAATGCTTAACCTGTGCTCGCAACAAACCAAGGCAAGGGCCCCCCTGACCCAGGGTATTCTGGATATAGGTACTACTCATATGAAAACTTATTCATGGACTTCACTGAAATGCTCTGAGCAGGAGGAGCATTGATATGTGTTGGGGCTTGTCTGCATCTTCTCAGGGTGGGTAAGACCTTCCCCACCTGCACAACAAAGATGTGAGAGGTGACAAAGGCACTGTTAAGAGAGATAGCCCCAGGATTCTGAGTACTCCTGACTTTGGGGTCAGACAGTAGACTGGCCTTCATGGCTGAGATAGTCCAGAAGCTCACACAGATGTTAAAAATAAAATAAAACTATGCACAGCCTACCAGCCACAGAACTCAGGAAAGATGGAGCACACGAACTGGACACTCAAACAATTGCTAGAAAAATATTGCTAAAAAACCCACTTGAAATGGGACCAGGTCCTGTCCGTGGTCCTCCTTCAAGTCAGATTCACCCTCACCAAACAAACTGGGTATTCCCTCATGAGATCTTGTTTGACCAGCCACTCCCCACCATAGGTAAAATCAAGGGTGATCTCTGTGAACTAGAGTAATTATGCCCCCACAAATAGATACAGGCTTTGGGGGTAGACATGCAAGCTGTCCATGGCTATGTACAAAAAAATGGTGCTCATAAGTCTGACAGACCCGATATACCCCTTCAAGCCTGGGGATTCTGTTTGGGTCAAGAAATAGGATCCAACAATCTTGGGGCTCATATGTGATGGGCCCCATACTCTATCTATCCCCACTGCTGTTAAAATTACAGGAACTGAGCCTTGGATCCATAATAGTTGGCTAAAATTGGCAGCCAAAGATAGGTGGACCATCGACCAGGATCCAGACCATCTGAACCAGCTGATCCTATGATGAGACAGAGCCACCACCAGGAATGGTAGTCCTCCTCTGGTCAATCTGGAAGCTGACCAGCCTATGCACAGCTGAAGCTTGAGGATTGTTATGGTTGATACATTGTGTCAACTTGGGGAGTCTAGAGGTTTGGCTAAATGACTCAGCAGTTCTGCCTCTTCCGGTGAAAAGGACACACCCATACCCTTCTGGGATGTTGTTTATTGTGTTAATTTGAGAAGTTAAGAAGGTTAACTATGCAACTCAGAAGGGGTCCTGGGTGCTTAATTTGTATTCATCCTGAGCCTGTGCAAGAGGCAGGCATTTAGAGGGTGTGGGTGTGGAGGACGACACCCCCACCTCCCCAGAGCCCGTAGACTGCTTAAAAAAAGGAACTGAGGAAGGACTGGCTGCTGGTTCTTCAGAGGAGCTCTGGTCTTCGCCTTCAGCTTGGTCGTCTCCTGGCTTCTGGTGCAGACTGTTGGGCTTCTGTCTGGACTCTTCAGCCTTTTGGTGTTGGCTCTCTGGCCTTCATTGTAGATTCTTCAGCATCCCATTGCAGACCCATCAGCCTTTTGATACAGACTTGCACGGACACTGCAGTGAGCTCCAGGCCCAGGGCTGGGCTCTTCAATCTCCAGCGTGCAGACACCCTCTGCACGCTTCCTCATCCAACTCTGTAGCTGACCATTGTAAGCCAAACTTGTAATTTCTTGTACATTTGTTTATCTTGTATTATATCTGTTCCTCTAGTAGACCCTGACTGATACAAGGATCAGCATGGAGGTATAAGAAAACACACCTCTTTTCCTTTTTGTTATATTTTCCCTCTGCCCAATAGGGAGACAACCCCCCACACCATTTAGGGTAAATAATGATGGTAATGTTCTCTATTAAATCTCATTTATAGAAAGTATCAAATGGGGGAATGAAGCAGCACTTAAAAGGAGAAAAAATAAATTTCTCCCATCTAAATAATTTACCTTTAGACTTCCCCATCCCAATGGCTAATTTTCCTTGTTCTAATACAGATAAAATCAGTACCTTGTCCGGGCACGTAAGATTTTACAACCTCCTGCTCTCAAGCATCCTGTTCTTACCTGAGCAAGGCCACTGGAGTGTGTTAAGTTTTAAACCGTCACAGCTTGACAAACTGCCTTTGTCCTGCTTCTGTAAACCTGCTTGCCTCCCCACAAGCTTCATGCCACCGAATAGACTAAACTCCCCACCCCCAAACAAGAGTAAATCTAGAGCCCTTCCTTTGCTCAGGGCTCAGCCCTGCTGAGCCAGTGTCCACCTAAAATAAATCCTCCTTTTCTCCTGTGGTCTCTCTGTTCTCTTGAATTCTGCAACACAATCACAGGAGAAAGGGAAATGCTTAGCGCTGGTCTCACCTTCTCTTCTATCACTGGGACTTGGACTGAGGGAATGTGATCTTCTTATTGAGATTCACGAGCATCTACTAAAGAGGGGTCTGTTTTTATGCTTAGAGGAAATTTTTTCTTTGACTAATAATGCGTGAGCTCACAGTCTACAGCACGAGTCATCACGTCTCCTCCAGCTGCTGTGGGGGTTGGGAACACTGAGGTGCAACGTTCATTAGCCCAAGTGCCTGGAAGATGATGATAAACAGAATCCACTTGTTGTGCAAATGTGTAGAACAAGTAAGAAATAAAATTGTGGGACTTTGTTCCTTCAGCACAAGCTGTGCTTCCTCAGCTGATACATTTAGAAAAATAAATGTAGTAGATATCTTGTTGTAAAAATCCCTAAGTTGTTAAAGAAAAGAATTCAATGCTACTTGTTAAAGCATGGAGAGGAAGACTCTTCCGGGCAATTGTAATAGGTATAGCGGCCATGACAGCTAGAATCCTGGGCTGATCTCTATTGCAAAATACTGTTCCTTTATATCTTTATGGTAATACAAATTATTAGTTTCCATAATTATAGGCTAATTCAGTTGTTTCAGAGAAAGCAAAAACTTCCTTTTGACACAGGTCAGAATTCATTATCACATGTATAGAATTTTTCAATTTGGGTTTTACCTCATAAGAGAAAAATCCCAATATGTAATAGGTATCATTCTGTCATTCTAAATATCATTGTTATCAAGATCAAAAGGACTGTTCATACAAGAGACAATCACCTCACTCCTCTTACCTCAATATTATTTTAGTAACAGCCTGGTGTTTTTTTCAGCAGTGTAGGTATTTTGATCTAAAGTGATTATAAATCCCTTCAGCAGTACCCAGCAGAGTAAGGACACAGCCCAGCGTTTCTGTTAAAGACCGCTGCTCCCCTTATTGAAGTAGGTGATAGGAGAATTATACTTTAATAATATTATACCTGGCAAATGTTATCACATAAATAGATCCCATAAAGTATAATGTCATTTTACAAGGAACATTCCTATTGAAATTGTTTAAAATCTTTTTTATAAAACTTGGAATCCAGACAGTTTAGCTCGAAGTGTTTGACTTCAAATTCGCAACATGAATACTTTTTAAGTTAACTAGGTACTTGTAAATACAGCTTCACGGGAAATGCATTAAACAAGTGACTGTACTCAGAAGCCCACTTATTGTGAAGTGCCAACACTGCAATGAAATCCAAATGCTGAGATTTTAGTTCAGAAAAAACAACTCATACATTGACATCTCTTGTCTTAAAAGGAAAACCACAAGCATGCTATAGGTTCACCCCCATTAGAACAAGGTGAAATGAATTGCACTGTCATCTTTAAATGCATCCTGAAATCTGAATGCTTGGGTTGGTATTTACGTGGCTAGCAAGGGTAACTGTATGAAACAGTAAAGGTGATCAAGGTAGTTGTACTTTAAATTGAGGGCAAAATCTCTGTTGCTGGCTCAAATTCAGGTTTATGGGTCCTACCTCAGATGTCCTGAGTCAGTATTTCAATGAATATGTAAATATATCTGCATTTTAAATCATTATATAACATGTACTCCATGTAACAATACATTTTTATGCTCTATTTAGAGAACTGTTGAGAACCACCCCCTTCTCTGACTTCCCTTTACTTTTACTTACTTGTATGTGGAATAAGTACCAATGTTAAACCTCTTGCTTTAGGGTAGCCAGTTGCTTTGGCATTTTCTGGGAAGTTGAAAGTGGATAAATTGTGGCTGATGGATTAAAAGAACAAATACTGATAGATTATTGGAATAGTAAAAACATATAAACATGGGGAGCTATAAATACGATCTTGTCCAATCTACTGGGGGGTATAATAATTAGATAAACATCTCAAACCATTAAGAAATCTTAAAATTAAAGACTCCACTTCTAATATGAACTGAACTATGTAACTTGTGTTGCCATTGTTCCCTTTTAAAAATACTGCTTTTTAAAGTACTGTTCAGATTTGCTCCTTTGCTTAAGAGGAAAGAAAAGGATTTCTTTCACATGGCAGTGTTTTCACATAAGCATAAGTAACGGGGAAATGCAAGGTTGTAGGGAGGGTAGTGGATCATCACAATCCGTTAAACAGTAGATTTAAACGTTCCAAAGAACTGAGCGGTAGGAAGGACGTCAGTGTTTAGGCTTCAGAAATGCACCTTCTTTCTGCATTGACCTTGTGTTGCTAATTTGGAATTTGTTGATTCAGTGTAATAACTGGCTCCACAGGTGATGGGGAATGTGTGTGACTTAATATTTTTGAACATGTGAAATGGACACAGACACGCACGGGCCGTAGAGGGAATGCTTGTAGCTGCGCTGAACGCTGGGAGTGTGCGGGTAGAACCTACTGTACTGGCCTCCGGATGATGTAATCCCGAACCCCCTTGCCTGGGCCCTTGCCTTTCCAGGCCGTTTCAACACGGAACAATGAATCCTCTGCTGCAAGCTGTTTGCAATGTCCCATGTGACGTCATTGACGTCAATGGCCCATGGACACTGACTTGGCAGAAATTTGGGTGCAGAGAGGATGGCTCCTGGGACCTTCCTACCAGTAGACTTTGATGAAATAATTGTGCCTGGGGAGGGACGGGATGATCCTTGAATATAATTTCAAGCTTGTTTTTTTTTTCTCCTGGACGCCAGACTGCAGACGCAGAGCTTCAGGGGGAAGAGGTGGAAATTCCCCCAAGGACTGAAGTAGCCTTGGCTGAGAAAGCGTCAGGTTCATTACAGCATGCACCTGAGTCGAAGCCGTGAGACACTCACACGTTCACACCACGAACGCGTTTTTCTGGCTGGCGCCGCCGGCTCCGTCTTCGCTCAGACTTGCACCTGTGCAGGTGCTTCTAACATGTTCCCTGTCAGTCGCACCCTCTTCCCGCTTCAGCTCCTCTTAGTGCGCTGCTCCGGAAGGGAAGGCTGCCTTTCCCCCAGTACTGCGGGTGTGCACAAGGACGGCGATGTGGTGATCGGGGGCTTCTTCTCCCTCTTCCTGCGGGTATACTTCTCTGGTATGACTCATATAGGGCCCAGCAAGGACTTCGTTGATATGCCGTAAGTGAGATCTTCATTTATTCATTTCCTGCTTTATTCTCAGGGTGGATAATTCCTAGAATAACTGTCTGTGTTTGGATAGATAAATGCTCTATGTTCTCTATCCCACGGAGGGCTGAATAGAACTGTATTTTTTCTCTATTCGGTTTTTTTCTTTAGAAAGTGGAAGACACCACCTTCCGCCTTAGTATATCACACATCCGCCTTTTCGTACCTGAGCTGCCACTCCACAGCACGGAGCCATGCCCACTAGAAATGCAATCACAGTCACTGGGTTGAATTTAGTACTTTGTGGCTGAAGGCAAGTGCCCATTTCGTAAAGACCAGGGTTGACTATCATCTCGCTTATTCATACCCAAAATTCCTTTCCTCCTTACTCGTGTTACTGCACCCCTGCATCAGCAGACGCCTCACCGCAGAAGCTCACTTGCACTCTCAGAGAATCTGTGTGTGAGGCTTTCATGCCGGGGGACCCACAACACACAGAGATGCAGCCAGGACAGAGCGAGGGATCTGTACTGTGTGAGAATGTATGTTCCAGTTTGATTCTGGCTCTCATGCACAGCCTCTGTTTGTAGTTGCTACCAAAGTAGGTCTGTAGTTAAAAATTGATTAATAAACGGAGCTTGCAAAGTGTCAGGATATTCCATGAGAAAAGGGGAGGGCACGGAAAGAATAGTAGCTGATGACCGAACGCGCGAGAGCTGCCGGTGGTCTTTGCCTACATTTGGAAGCGGGGTTGGTAGAGTTAGGGTTTGTGGCATCTCCGTGACATTCGTCCCCGTACTTATCTCATATCCTTTCTTGTGATTATAATTCTGGTTCCTAGATAATTTCCTGTTATCTTTGTGTTTGAGATAAGGCAGTGTTGTGTTACACAGGTTGGCAGCAATGTATGGGGCTCGTACTACCATCATATCAGAGCCTCCTAAGTGGGTGTGATCTTAAATCTTTGTCACTACACCCGGGATGTTTATTTCCCCATTATTGTCCAGAACGTGCTTGATGTTGCTCTTTGTGTAAGGTGCAAACTTTGATTCTGATGGTTGCTGCTGATTCTTGTTTCTGAGCTAGCAGACAGATCTGCAGGTGTTTTGAATGAGTGAGGTCAGGGAGCTGTGCTCTGAACCCCCGGAAATGTGCTAAAAATTACTCATGGCACTTGTTGAAAATGATAAGAAGGGTTTTGTCTAATTGGGGCATCACCTCAGGGCCCCCCGCAATGGCGCTTTGCACTGGGGAGGTGGCATCGGGTTGGACTTTGAATTCTGCACAGGCGAATGGGTTCACAGGGCAAGTGCACCATGGAGGTCACTGAGGCATACATCACCGAGGGACAGCAGTGGGCTAGTGAGGAATTCTGGCCACACTGTCATAGAGGGTTCTAGCTGGAGGAAGCCCAGTGTGGCCAGCAAACATTTGGGAAGAGTAGAGAATGAGGAACTGGCGGTCATTATCAAGTGAAGTGCAATTTCAAAGCTATTCCAAGGGTGCTGGAGGGAGACTTTGGGTTTCGTCCTCAGAAGAGAGGAGGAGAGGAAACGAGAGGCTGCCGGCTCTTCCACTGGTCCTCTGCTGTCCACTCCCCCTGCTCAGGGAACTTCTGTGCTGTGGAAGGCGGGCTTTTCCAGAAGCAGGTCCTGTACCCCTGTCCGTGCCCGAGAAGAACATCCTTCCTGTCCAGGAGGTCTTTATACCCAGGTTGACTTATCCATTAGGAAAACATCTTTAGAGAATCATGGAATGTTTATATTATTAGAAGGAAAAAGAAAAGAACTTATAAAAACTTGCATATATATATAAATATATAAACATAATATATTTTTCTTTATAGCAACTTATGTTGCAAAATGTAAATGTAATATTTTTGAAGGAGAATGTGGCCCACCTGTTCATAAATGTGAAGGCCACAATAATTTTAGTGTGTATGCTGTCAAAGCAAGTACTGGCTACAGTATTTATAAGGTGATTTTCATAATGCCCTGGATATTCCCACACATAACTATCAATATATTATGAGTAGGGTTATTATGCCTCTGTCTTGCTTTTACTTATTTTTTACATAACAAAGTATATGTTCCTATTCCTATCACTATCTTGCGGATAACTTTTATGTCCCCATAAAATTACATCTCTTCAGTGTAAGAATTTTACTTTTGCTAATTTTTGGGTGTTTCAAATTCTCTAATTGGTTGCTTCTTCTGTGTTTTCATAAGTAGCAGTATAAGAGATAGCTGCTGGATGCCGACTGGACCCCAGTACCTGGATATGTGCTTTCCACGTACAATGAATGAATACAAGCAAAGGAAATGGCTGGGTTCAGATTTATTTATATTTTAAAGCACTTGTGTGTTCTCACGGAACGCAGAAACAAAATAAAGACCAATTTCCCCAGCCATGCAGGAGGGTGTTGTTTCCTTCAACGTTAGATGGAAAACGGCCTGTTTGATGTGTGGAAATGGTCTCTCAATATATATTTATATGGTTTTATTAATGATTAGATTATGTCTTCATGCATTATCTTGAGAACATTTCACTGAATATGTTCCTTTTACTAATTTTTATTTTATTTTATTTTATTTTATTTTTTTTAAGTTTTAGAGTTTTTTTCTGGTACCAGGAATTAAACTCATGACCTTGCGCTTGCTAGGCAG